CTTTTATTATTGAGACCCTAGGATTAGCCGAGTGAAGATTTTGCTTGTCTTCAACATACAATTGCCATCGTTAACTCTTTCACATATGAGTGCAGGCGGGATGCATCGCCGGCATTTGCGACTGCTTGTAAAGCCAACTGAAAGTCCATAGGCTTTCCGTAGCCACGGCCAGTGGCCTTTCAATTTCGATGTAGGCCACGAAAATCTTGACTCGCCGGCCGTCGTTGCTTGCCAGCTCATGATTCCTTGGCCAAGACAGAAGCCCTAAACCCTAGGCCTCTAAACACCTAAACCCTAAACCCCTACTTGGAGGCTCCGAAGCTTCAATTGGTCGCCCATGGCAAGTAGCCCTTAAATAGCTTAAAGCCAAAATCCTGAATCCTAAACCCTAAGCCGTCAACTTCTAGATCCTAAACCGTTTTTTGAGCAGGGACTGCAATGCAAACCTAAAGCCCCACACCCCAAACCCAAAACCCAAAAACCCTAAACAGGCCTCGAGGAGGCAACGGCGTCGATGAACCGCCTTCGCCTGGTATTGGGATTGATTTTAGGGTTTAGTTTAGACTTCCGCTCGAGAATTTCGAGTCTGCCTAGGCTCTATAATTTGGAATTTCGCATTTGAGGGTGCGGAGTTTACGGCGGATTCAGATCAAGTGCTCCCGGGGCCATGCAATAGACTCTCAAGGTAGGGCCACCAAGGTGTAAGGCCTCATGCAACTGTGGGTTCGCAGGATTTGTAGCGGAAATGCGTCAAAGCCTGAGCAACCTTAGACCCCAAATCCGAAAAAAACCCACACATGGAATCCTAAACCTGCAGTCCAATCCTAGCCTCCTGCACCCTCACTGACATCCAAAAGCAGCCGGAGGATGGCCTTCATCAGACTCAGCTCCGCCAGTCGACCCTGCATGACGCCGTGCTGTTCGTTCCGCTCTGCGACGCACGCCGTCATGGCCAATGAGGCGCTGTCGGAGCGTCGGATTAGGGACTAAGGTTTAAAGTTAAGGGTTGAGGGTTCAGGGGTTTTAAGGACTTGGGCTAGAGGGTTTAAGAGTAACGGCTCTGGGTCATGTGTAGGGCTTAGGACTTTAAGGGTTTAAGGCCTTTATGGCCCAGAGAATGCTTTGTGGCTATGTGTAAGAGTTTATGGCTCAGAGGTTAGCAACGGTTAGGGCTTCTGATATAGGGAGTTCCCCTATGAGGTTGGTAGGTCCCTCTAAGCATCGTTCTTTTGGGATTTGGGTCAGGAGTACATACATACACTCACATACATACATATGTAAATACAGGGATACATAAATACAGAGTAGGGTTCATGAGCAACTCTGGCTATAAGCAGGTGTGAATGCTGTCCTAACCCTAAACAGAAGGTGCAACGTGCTCATGATGTTCCCAATCGGCTTTGACAGCTCATTTCGGGTCCCGGACGGTGTGGGATGCAGGGTGGGTATTTTGGATTGACGGTTCAGGGTCTGAGCTTGAGAGTGGCACCCCGACAAGACGCGTCTGCTGAGGTTCGGGACCCTGAAAGTACGTATAACTTCCGCAAAACTACACGTCTTCTGCCAATGGCAGCACAGCACGAGAAGCGAATGCACAGGACAACTACTGATGTGCCCAGGACAGGCCGCTGTGAGTCACAGAACGCAACACTCCATCTTCAAGCGCGCGGTTCGGCTCGAAACCCTCAAAAAACAACACTGCGAAACCCAAACGGTAGCAGTAGCCCGTGACATTATGGCAACTGACTTCCGCGCAGGAATTTCTGACAGGGTCAGCATCCTACACAGACACAAGAAGGATTTTTCCAAGGGTCTTCTGAGATCCTTCCGTCTGCGAGTTTACGAGAGCCACAGTTCTAGCTGTTCGAGGCTTTCAACTCAAGCAAACCTGAAAGATGTGGCCAATCTGCCGAGACTGTCGTTTGAAAAAGGACTTGGGTAAAACCCTAGGCAAACGAAGGATCCGAAACAAACCTGCCGGAGAGGCGAAGATGCCTTGGCCCAGCTCTGCTGGATTCGGGGCTCAAAGCTCTCAGGGCTCATACTTCAAGAGACTCTATAAAGCTTCATCGGGCTCATAAGGGTTTAGGGGTAAGGATCAAAGGGCTTATGCTTGAAGCTTCTGGACAAAAAGATCATCCTAAATAAAGTTTGCTGTACGGTGCCTGCTCCATGCCACGGAAAGCTCTTGAGCACCCCCCACCCCCTCACCCGAAGTTGAATACGTATCCGAGCTTCGGTTTGAAGGATTGGGCTTCGTACATTCCCAAGTGACAAGTGAGGCTTCCCTCGATTTTGGCGTTGCCACTGGGCCTGTGAATGCCCCAACTTTCAGTCGGTTTTGGTGACCCAACACTCCCGACACCCTGAAACCTAAACCCCAAGCCCAACAACCCGCAAAGCCCTAAACCCTAGAAGCCCTAAGTCGGAACTCTACTTAACTTGCAGATTAGGAGCTTCCGTAGTAAGCTGTCTTGTGCGAGACTGTCCGCCCGTCAACCTGACGGCACTTGCAATGGCAACCCAGTTTAAAGGATCCTGAGGGTTTAATTTTAGGGTTAGGGATTAGAACTTCGCATTGAGGATTCCTTTAAGAGATCCTTTAGCACACATAGCACGCTAGAGATGCTCGCCGTGCTTTGCGGAGAGAGAACCCTCTTCTGCTACTCGCCCTGCGGCAGCAGTGGATCCAAGGCTTTCCCGGACAACAAAAGCCTTCTGCAGCACATCCTTTACATCGGTGATTTACCTTCTCAGCGTCCAGGGCTTTGGGTTGAGCAAAACCCTAAATCCTTAAATTTTACTTAATCCACCGGCATTACCAATGAGAATCTAAGAAGTTTTGGGCTATGGTACAGTTATTTCATCTTTCATGCTGTATTTTACTATTCCCTGGACCCCAACGCCTACTCGCAACGGCTTAGGGCTTAGGGTTTAGGGTCTCGGGTTTTGAACTCCAGTTCTTCTTTCTTCCGAGCTCGCATGACAGCTCTGTGGTCACCCGATCCTATGCGTTCGTTCCTCATTCAAGGAACCGCAAAAGTTTTTACATCTGGACTTGATGTATGCCAGCACCCCACTGAGCGCAGGACCAAGGACTCTGCCGAGGCTCCAGCACAGCGGGAAAGGAACAAGGAACCGCAAAAGTTGGAAACCAAACCCTCAGCCTTCGCCGAGGGCCCGGCTGTAAAACTGCGTGGATGTACGACCGATTCGCCGATTCGACGACTTTAAAGATGACAACCACGAAGACTATGACGATCAGATGACAACGCCTCAAGACATATGAGTCCATCCGAACCGCTCATGTCCTGCACCTAAATCCCAAACCATTCTGTAACCCTGATTGGCTTCAGCAGTTTTGCCTTGAGGAGACTTGTAGAAATCAATCCGAGAGGCTTGGCGGACGTCCGGGTGCAGCGTCCGGCTGCGGGATTAATGAGGGGTTTAGGGTTTAGGGATTCGGGGTTCAGTGGGGTGTCGGCGCTCACACTCGGACAATCCAGGCGAGGCCTAAGATACGAGCCTGCAGTGTGAAACAATCAAAACATGCGGTCAAAACACAATCACAGAGCCCTAACTCGTAGACCCTATAAGTGGGGTTTAGGGTTTAGGGTTTCATTAGAGCTCTTGGGCATTGATTATCGTCTTGAATTAGAGCCGGCTCAGGAGTTCAGGAGAACAAATGCGAAGATGTCAAGCTCCGAGCTTAAGGCTTCTACTGCTCGGGTCCGCTCAAATGAACCGCCACAGGATGGCTGCGACAGTCCACCACGAAAGCATTGAGATCACACTCAGGAGAAGTCCCCGGTCGTTTTGACGGAAGACGTAGAGTTGGATCGCGTAACAGGCGATGTAGAACAACAAGGCCAAGATCGCGACGGCCAGCGATAGCAAGAAGTCCAAGTAGAGCCTGCGACCTCGCGCTCGCCAGCGGTAGCACAAGCGGAAGGCCAGTTTGTCCATCATGGGGATGATCGCGAGGAAATAGGTGAGCGTCTGGGCTATATCGACTACCTGTCGGCTGGGATCGCTTGCGTTGCTAGCTGCATACCCAAGACGTATCCAGACATACGGAGTAAACACTTGCAAGGTGCGCTGATAAGAGAAGGCTTTGTACGCAAGCTGATCGATGATGGCCATCCGCACTTCAGTTTGCACTTGCATTTCAAAGCTGTCCAGTGATTTGTACCATGCAGCGATGCACTCAAGAATGATCTCGCGATCGCACAGAGACATGTCGTCGTGGCCGTGGTCGCAGCAAGCGCTTCTGGCATGCTCGACCTTGAAACAACGGAGTTGCTCTTGCAGCGTGTCAACGCTGCGGGCATGACCTCGCAGAGCGTGCGTCACGAAGCCGAAAAGCAGCCCAAGAATACCAACGAGCAATATATATAGTTCTCCCACGACTATTGCCTCGTCTGACGCCTCGTCTGACGATGCCAACGAAGATTCAATGTAGACATATACCACGCCTAGCACACAGAACAGCATCTCACAGCCCAGAAGCGCCGGCCCTAGCAAGGGAGGAATAATCTGTAGATCTACCTTGCAACCGGGACTACGGCTGTGTAGAAATGCAGCGACCTCGAAGGTGCACCACCTTAGCTCCCGACTGTTTAGGGTTTAGGGTCCTGGGTCAAGGTCCCTGATACGAAACAGACTGGCGCAACAGGGCTTAAGCGAGACCGAAGAGAATCCAAGCCACAGTCTTGTGACCCACGTAGGATCCCACAGAACCAGCATGGAAGTCGACTGTTTCAAAAAAGCACCCATACTTATGATGGCCTCTCCCTTTCTGTCTTCGTCAGTTTGGTGAATGCATGCAATGTCTAGAAACACCAGCTTTCGCGGACGCCACAGAAGCAAGGCTGTGCAAAAGGCCACAAGCCCGAAGAGGATGCACCATCCCTGTCGTGCACCCAGAAATCCTGCTGAGACGAGGCCGCAGGCTACGCTTGCGCTCAATGTTCCTGCTATGCTTGCCGGCATGCAATTATGCAGGTAAAGCATGTTGGTATATTTGGTCCACGCCGACCCCCGCCAGCTGTGGGACCAAAACTGATCGAACTGCATTGCCTGCTGACTCAATCCATGCAGATCGTCGAGCTTTTCTCTGAGCCAAGCAGACGGCAAGTAACGCAACAGCTTCCAAACAGGGACTCCACGTAGTATTTCTGGCCGCGTGGCCTCCATCTGGTTGATAAACGCAATGTAGAACTGCACCAGCTGCCGCCCAGCTCTGTCGTCGCGCGCATCTTCGTCCGAAGCTCCTGAAAATTCACTGGGAATGTCGTCGTCAACGCCCGACGTTGCCTCTACAGCAATCGCCGCTGGCTTGCCCACAACTGTCTCCGAGCTGTTCGGCATGGCTCTGCAGACCTCGTGCAGTCACCGCCTCAAGGCGGTAAGACACCAATACTGTAAAGAGGCCCAATGACTAGAATAAGGTTTCGGGTTATATAATACTATAAGTTTATAAGTTTATAAGGACGATAAGGAAAGACTATTACAAAATATTTCGACCTCAATACTGCGGCGAGCTACTCTGCCTTGCCACATTGCTGAGAAGGCCTCTGAGTTCGGAGCACTACGGAGACCGCAAGACTGCAAAATGCAAAACCCAGACCTCGGTTTAGGTTGAGGGTTCAGGGTTTAGGGTAATCAGAACTGGTATGGTCCAGTCAGACTTTACTTAAGCTGTCCTGGGATCCTGGGTGTTGGGGGAAGGCTTGGGACTAAAAAGCTGTGTTCACCACGAGTTCGAAGCTGCAAGATGGGAAGCATACTCTAAACCCTATAAACCCTCAATCCAACCATCTGATCACAGTGGCTTTGGTAAGACTTCTATATACGGCCGTCAGCTGAAACCCTGAAACCGAACTTCCAGAGTACCTACAAAGAAGGAACGGTAAGGAATCACAATTCTACTTCATGACCGACCCTGTTGATGCCCGGTCATGACCGACCCAAGCCTTGACCGGCACAATCTGACGGGAGAGAGGAACCGTGAAGCGGCGGCAGAGAACGACCTCGAGGGTTGCGACTTCGACTGTGAGACAAAGGGCTTAGGGTTTCGGATGCAGGGCTCAGGGTTGCGAGTTTCAGTATGGTAAATTACAGGGTTTTAAAGTTCCCGCAAGAGTGCATCAGGATGATACAGTACAGAGTTTTAGGGGGTTGGGGAGATGGGCTGGTCTAGACTTCGGGAATCCTTGTGTTTTCAGGTGTCGGAGTTTGCTCTCGGGCACTTCGGCGGAGACACGACGAGTGGATCAAGACAGCAAGATCTAGTTCAGGATTCCCTAAGCCCTTGTTGTTGTCGTTGTTGCATCTGGTCTCCATGGATCTTCGCCGGAAACTACAGCCGCCAAAGTTCCCTAAACGTCCTGCTACTTGAAAGACCATGGTAGGAGGTTAGGAGAATGTGCGATCCTCGTTGGCCCTCGTGCCTGCCACCAAAGAACGAAGAACGCTTTGAACATGTCCTGCACAAGACGGCATCTTTTCGGGGAATGACGGAACTGAGAACCTGTATGACTGCATGGGCTATGCGTGGGGTATCTGTACCAACAGCAAGTAGAATCGGGAAGTGAGCGCATTCGAAAGCAATACCTACGCATGGACGCGCGCCGGCCCATGTCCGGATGCCTCGGCTTTCAGATGTACCCCCTGCATGCCACACGTCCATGACGGCAGGTCTTGGTTTGAGCTGAATCTTCTTCACAACAAGTAAGACATAGAACGGCTTTCGATCTGCGGGGTTTGCTTTTCGCAAAGGCAGCTTAAAGGGAACCGTGTGGGCCGCTTTTGGTGGTTGGCATGGTCTCATTGTGGAAACGTGCCACCGTTGGTGCAACATCGCACAGCCCGGATAAGCAAGGATCAGGTCTGCACAGTCAGCCATTGCATGGCCAAACTATGCTCTTGCACCCCCCTGTTGGGCTTAAGGATTACTGTAGAGTGCAGCTCCATCGTTCCACAAGCACTAGCTGCATCCTGCCACTGTATGCCCTACCCTGCGGCGCGATCAACAGAACCCAGCTCGGCAATTACTACACTTTAAGACGTCATGCCCTGATGAGATTAAAAAACCCTTTCTGAATGAGGTGCAACCGAAACCAACAGCGATGCGATGTGCCCGACCCAAGTACTGTGACGGAGTGTACTTTATCCCCACAGAGACCCCCTGCTTGGTAGGGATGTCTTATCAACTCGGACAAGCCAGACGAGGTTGCATAGGTGCAGGTCGTATCACTAGGGTTTAGGGTTTTGCGGATATGTCTCACCTTTGGAACAAAGGCCTGGTGAGCCTCCTTCGGGGCAATAAAGCCACGTTTCCTTGGCTTGGGACTTGCCGGCTCTTCATGGACTCAGGAATTCCACTGTCGCCACCCCTTCCCACCACAAACCCGCAACCCTGCACCTCAAAGCTGAGCCCTTGACATCAGATCTCGGTATCTTAGGCCCGCCCTGCTGCACACCAAATTTGACAGTGCTTGTCGACCTACAGAGGCATCAACGATTAGAACAGGGCTTGAGTACAATCGTGTATCTACGCTGGACTGCTGGGGGATGTTCTCGGCGAGTATTCAGACCCCCAGATTACATCCTTGCTCCAAGGTTCTTTAGGAAACTCGAAAACGACCCGATTCAATGCAAGTGGGCCGCAAAGCCAAATCTGCACACCCTACTTGCGTCTCAAGCTATCGCCATGTGCTGCCACGATTCAATATCGAGCAATCGCCAGCCGTCCACCAAGGAGTTCCGGTGGAGGGGTGTGATTGCTTGAGCCCAGCCGATCAAATCAACCTGTTCGGACATGGCCAAGGCTCCTTCTCGCGCCTTGTCATCATCTGTCATCGGTTCATGCACCAGCTACGTGCATGTATATTTATATATATGGACATACCTTTACATATATATATATAT